TTCCTTGACTGCCGTCCAGTGCTCACTGAATCATCCGGACGATGGTTGTGCGGAGAGAGGATCGGATAGGTCTGCTGCAAAAGCCGATTTGCAACCATTGCTGACATTGTATTTTGGGCATCCGTTTTCGGTAACTTTTCTACGTTTGTTTACTAGGCATAGAGAGAATCTCACTCGTAGCAGAGCGTGGTCCGTGTCCACGGGTACTGAGCAGTAGGAGCGGAAGTCTTCAATGGATCCTCGTCAGCAGTTTCTGATGGTAATGTGATCGATTTGAGTCCAGCGCTGTGAAGCGGTTGGCAGTCCCCATGTAAGACGGTGTGACGTTTTTTGTGCGAGAAGTTCGTGCTTGACAGAAACAGTCCGTGGTCAGCATAAAGTTGGAGTAGGCGTTCTCCGTTGTCAGTCCTGTTGGTTGGGATTGCATGCGAACCGCCAAGTATGAACTAGGCGTTCTCCGTTGTCAGTCCTGTTGGCTGGGATTGCATGTGAACCTCCAAGTAGCCTTCTATGATTCGTCCAGGGATCCCACTTGAGCATTGAGGTCTCCAGCGACTACCACAATGTCCATTGACCGAGCACTTTGGAGCGGTAGGGCGAGGTCCTTGTAAAATTAATCCTTCATTTCTTGTGAACTGCAATCTGTCGGTGCATACGCGGATACGACGAATAAGCATCGACGCTTCGTTCTGTAGCTGTTGAAGCGTACTGAACCATCCAGACGTACAGCGCAAAGTAGGCTGTTAACCGGGATCCAATCGAGAAGTGAACGCTCGGCCTTGACACCTAGCGCAATTCAAACACCAGCAACACCGCGAGCTTCGGACGCCGGTCACGGAGAGTAAAGCATGAGGATGAGGCTGGATCTGGCGAACGGAGGTAGATGACTGAAGTAGGGTCTTGTGTGCGTGTTTCGGAAACACAGTATACGTCTAAATAGAAGGTTTCAAGGATTCTAGATAGGGCGGCTTGTTGTCCGATCTAATAGTGTGCGGACATTGAGTGTGACTAAGTGAAAAGGGGAGTTTGGTTTCATAAATCTGGTAGCCTCTGAGTGGTTGACCTTATTAGTTGAGCGCTGAGTGATATGCGATGGGTGTCGTAAACATGAGGCACCTGGGAATATTCGGAATTGAGAAGAAGGACTAGACAGATGGGAAAGATGGTTTTCCAAATGGGTACCTGAGACTTTAGAGCACAGCATACTTAGCGGTTGTCCACACCGACGAAGGGGTTTTCCTGTGGGAACCCTAACCAGAGCCTTTGACTCAAAATTCTAACCCGCAAGGCAGTGGGGCGTAAATCTAACGCGGGAGCGTGAATGAAGGACTCGTGTGGAAGCTTCTGGAGACCTGTCACGCAAGGCCTTTGAATTTCGGTTACGTTTGCTGTTCGCTGGTGCTTTGATTGTCGGTCCTCTTTTTGGGATCGGCCCTTAGCCTCATGCACCCAATGAAACAAGCGGAACGTGGACGGGACAGCACCTTATTGCCTGGGGGCTTCCCAGCTTGGGCGGGCAGTGCGAAGACTTCTCCCACCGTCGAGAGGAAGCCCCAGGTACCTCGCTCCTACGTCCATCTAACGGGGATTTTTTGACCGGTTAACTGCCCCTAACCATGTTTATTTACTGGAGTGACCTCTCCAGGGGGCGGGTGTGGATAGAAAAGGAAGCCAGGAGGTGCCCAAGCTGCTGGTCTTTTGAGACTGATCTGTCTGGCCTGTACACATTGACCTTTCAGGCATGATTGGATCTACGGCTGTGAGAAGCCATGCTGTGTAGCTCGCAGGGTCATGGAGGTATGCAAGCCATCACATCACGCCAAGGTGCAGTCTCATCGTGATGGTATATAATATCTACTACCATTCAACTACCTAGTCCGGAGCGTACCTTGTAGAGGCTCAACAGGGGTGGGGGATGGGACCGATTCTATACGAACAATTGAATCCCAATCGATCGTGTCTCGATGGAGTTACGAACAGATCGTTTTACTGCTTGGAATTCAAAGTGGGAATTAGTCGTGTATACAACAAATGAGGCACGAACTGAAAAGCTAGGAAGCACTGTGCAGCTGTTTCGATCTGGTTGGGTCTCATCAGCAGTGCGAATCCATCGACCCAACTGGGGATCGAACCCGGGACTTCACAGGTAGAACGCAAGTATGCTACCCATTCGGCCACCAGGGGCAACTGATCAGGCCGTTCTTCATTTTCCATTTACACCATATAGCACAATCCATCTTCGCGAGCTTGTTGCAGGTCACGGACCTCGCTCATCTCAGCAATAGCCTCCGGGGTTATGACTCGGTTGGAAACATTCACGACCTGACTACTTGTTTCAAGTGAGTAATGCTTGGTATTTTTCACCAGTGTGTAGTAATTTTGGGCTCCACTACCGAGACTTAATCCACCGGATGCTGAAGCGCACACTCCTGAGCTACACAGGTGGAGGCCAATAGGATGAGCGAACATGTACACTTGTAAAGTATTCGATAATTAGACTGACGCCAATGATTTCACAATTACACTAGTTCACGTTGTTTTTGTAGATGCCTTAGCTCCAGAGTTTGGCTTCGTCCCACATGTAATAATGTATAACGGTGCACCTATGAAATTGAATACTCTAGTTCAGTTAGTACCTTCTAACTAGCTCCACGTTTCTCAGTGTCAGTTTCTCACGGTTTTGGCACGACTCTCGTTTGCCTGTCAGAGTGTACGTTCACAACTTCATCCATTGGACATCACTAATGAGTTACTGGGTAGTACGCTATTGGAGCAGAAGGTCATTACCAGTAATAATGTCTGCCGAAAATCAAGGTGAACCTAATGGGGAGATCAGACTATCAAGTTTGGTTGTGGACAAGAAATGTATTCTCAGCAGAGTTTCGTAGTTCATCACAGTCAAGTATTTGCTTTATGCACCCCCGAAAGGTGGATATTCAGCAGCCACATAGTCAACCAACAACGACCATGTAAAATTATATCAGAATTGTGGTAAGCAATGAGAAAACAAAAAAATTACTATATAAGTGAGTTCAGTTCCGAAGCGATGGGTTCTGGATTAACAAGAAACCGGGCAAGATAAGTCACCACAGTCTTCAGTCTTTAGGATTGAGGGCAGGGTGCCCGTGTAAGCCCCATCACCACTGAGTCGAAGGTCCGATCACAGTTGCTCATTCCTCAATAGCCCCTTCACGTGCTCATCCAGAGGCCGTTTGAAAGCAGCGTCTGTCTTCTCTTCCATCACAATCGCTAGAACGGAATTCCAGAGTGTTGTTGACCTACGCGAGAGTCGGTAGACTAACGGAAGACCAACTGACTGAAGTTTCCGCAACGTGAGAGAGTGCCCCCGCGTGCGGTGCTCTGTCCGTAAAGGGAAATACTGTTGCAGCTCCGGGCCCATATCACCTCTCAGGATCTTCTTTAGGCAGATGAAATCTCCCATGAGGCGTTGATACGCAATTGGGAACAGACCAATAACCTGTAGACGACTTCCATAGCTGGTCCCGCGTAGTCCAACAACGAGTCTCGTGGCAGCACGTTGTACACGCTCCAACTTAGCCAGTTCACCAGCCGTGCAGGGGTATGTCGCCTCACCACCGTACTCATGTCTTGGTCTGAAATGAGAAGCGTACAGCAGCCTGAAAGCGTCCATCGTGAGTTGGTTGAAAGACCGCCGAACAGGCCCCAGAATGCTCCATGCGCTAGCACAGATCCGATCGGTGTTTTCTTGAGTCTTTATTGATGACGTAACCATAACACCCAGGTCTCGCTCGCATGATTTTCTGCGCAATGTGATTCCCTGGAAGTTGTAGACTACCTCTGAGTCAGCACGCCCAAAATGCAGGTGAGCAAACTTTGCTGTATTGACTGGAAGAGCCCAGGTGTCCGCCCACTGGGCCAGGTTGTCCAAATCCGCTTGAAGAGAACTTCGATCATTCGGATCCTTGATTGTACCCCAGATTTTGATGTCATCCGCATACATGAGGAATGGGCTGCATAGTTGACCAGGCAAGTCGTTCACATGAACCGCAAAGAGCAATGGACCAGGAACCGAGCCTCGGGGGCCCCACTGGGAGCGGAATACCACGCAGAGAGCAATTTGCCAACGCAGAATTTCCGATCGATGGGGAAGTTTCGCAGCCAATTCCGCATTACCACACCTACACCTAGGTTGAACAGCTTTCGCAGGAGGTCGTGTGGCACCTTGTCGAAGGCCTTGGTGAATTCCACGAAGATGATGTCCGTTTCGTGTCCTTTGGCCTTGTCCTCGGTCCAGCATTCACAGAAGACCGATAAGCGTTTGTACGAGCAAATATAAAATTACAGTGGGACCGGGTGAAAGAGGAGGACACACACTTGATAAGATTTTGGTTTAACGGATGTGAAGGGTTGTCTATGATTTTTGTGAATAACAAAAAACATGACTTTGTATGTTGAGAAATCATCAAGTGATAGAGTACCACGAGAAATCCAGCTTCTTTTGACAAATGTCTTAAGGATCTGGAAAGCAATTTAATGTCCTTCTTGAGCATCCTTAGGAAGATTACAGGGACCCGTACAGCCATAGAGGCAAAATACAAGCAAAAATAAAACGTTTATTCGAGAAGCGAGGGACGAATGGTGCTTTTAGGTGTAGGATATAAAATGATAGTTTCCTGACCTTTCCAAATACAGAAATAACTTGGTCATAAATTTCAGCTGATTAACACACCAAGATACCTGACACTTAAGGGTTGGATAATAGTATCAACGCGTATTTATAACGTGGGACAAGATTCCCGGAGATTAGCAAAACGAATCCCTCTGTGAAGTGAGAACAGCATGTCTACGCACTTAGAGGGATTGAAAATTAAGTTATGTGCACTGGACAGATTAGAACAAACCGTGACTCATGGTTTACATATTGAGTTTTACATCGCGGGAAAAATCGAGTGTAAATGTGAATGCTTCAAACAATAACGCCAACTATGGAGCTGTAATTTCATTTGGCTCCGAAACAATCAATGAAATGCACAAGAAACTAATTCGCCATGTTGAGATAATTGACTTACTTTGGTCAAGTGTCCACGCCGAATAATCCAAGCAATGGTGGTCAGAACGAAACTGATATCTTTCGATTGGGTGGCAGCTTGGACAAAAGAGACAATATTTCAAAAACGGAATAGGAACAACATACCTGGCCCTTTTGGTTCTGGAATTTGATATTTCGGTCTGACTAGGAACTGTAACAGCGAGTGTGCATCAATATCGTAATCGGATAAGCGTTTATCAGCCTCTAGAAGCTCACCGCAACAAATGCACTCTTCGGACCGGGTGCCTAAGACGGAAACGGAAGGGACTTACGGATATCAAACGATTCCGGAGATTCACCAGAATCTAGGATCTTAGGGAACAAACTGCCCACAGATGCATCCGCATCGAAACCGCCTATGTATCTAGACGTCATGTTCTCTGGCTCATCCAGTCGAGTCACTTTCGCACGTAGAAATGTCATGAAGTAAGGGAATGCCACAACAAAGCTACAAATCAAGTAAGAATAAACCGTTAATGGAAGGTTAATACACATTGCCTCCATGCAACTAATGGTAATGGTATGTGCTTAAATTTCACACTAAGATTGTTTCTTCACAAAATTCCGGAATTCGAATAATATTTGCACCATCATCGATTGAATGTACTGCATTTTGGTGAGCAATAAAAGTAAGTGCTGTCGGGAAAAAATCGAGAACTCAGCTCACTTGTGAATGTTGGAAGGACGGCATTGGTGAATGCATTCACCCTGAACAGTCAACTAGTCTTTCACTCCAACTTACATCGGGTGAAGTCATATCGGTGATCTAATTTTTCATATCATTCACTATAGCTATCAGCTAACCATGACTCGTCGTTTCGTTCATTTTATTGACAAGACAAGGAGGAAAATACTGAGAAAAAACCACCTATCGGATTCTTCTTTGCACTAATGATTCTATAGTTTCTTTTTTTGGTATTTCACACTTCCGTGTGATGAACCCACTGTAACGAGGACCTGCTGTTTAGTGATGAAAACCGGTAACATAAGCCCCGAGACTTGGAGTGGCGAACCACATAAGGCCTGATAGGATAGGTGTGATATTGAACCGAACGACAGCAGAGTTGTCTACCACCAAAGTCGAGTGGCGGTGGTGGGGCTTGAACCTCGGACCATAGGGTCCAAAGTACGCCTGTGACAGCGACTAAACCACTGCACCACCACCACTTGAGATAACCCTACCGCCTTGACGGCTTGGAGAAGCAAGATTGTCCAGTTTCCATGTATGTGAAGGGGAGGGGGTAAATGAGTTGGTTGCGTGAGCCTGCTATGGGAAGGAGCCAAAATACTACCTAAGAAATTTGGAACTTGGTGGGGTGTATCAATTGTCGGACAGAACCCAGCTTACGGATCTAGATCTGAGACCTGTCCGAGAAGGTCGAACTGCCATGAATCAGTAGATCCCAGGAATTCTGAATACGCTGGTAACATAAGGTAAACTACCAGGTACAAGCGTGAATTGATGATACGAAACTACCTTGTTGGTGGTTAATTGCGAATAACTCCTGACTCTACCCGACGAATAAGTATTAACGAGAATATCAGGATGGGTTTCAGTTCAGTTCAGACACCTAGGTCCCGTCAACAGCCGCAGAAGGTGAGTGATAGTTTTGTGATAAAAACCAATGTGACTAATCTTTCAAAGATAAACTGGTTGATTCATTCATCCCTGAGTCAGGAACTCCTGATCTCTTCGGCATCTTACCCCATGAATGAGACAAAAACTTTGGTGAAAAGCAGTCATTGAAACCAAGATCGTGACATTGATCGGCTCTCTGGTGGATCATACTTTGGTTAGACGAAAGTTCTAGGCTTGGTACCTTGAGAAAACAGTGAAATACCTGGGATAGATAGCAGGATTGCGTCCAAAAAAATATTAGGCAATTTCGTTTGTTTCATCATCGACTGTGTTCACCTCTCCCTGCCCCACCCCATCCCACCAAAAAAGCCGTTTTGTTTGGTACCGATAATATGCAAAGACGTACGTGCAGATCTCATGAAACTAATCCATTTGATCCCTAACAGTCAGAATCAAAACGGGGTCAACCGAAGCTTGCGATGAGAACTCAGTTCAGTTCAGTTCAGTTTTTACAACCATCAACTATGCAATATTGTGCACCGGTTTTGGTTGCTGCCTGGTGACTGTCCATTTCGATAAAAGAGAAGGAAGAACGGAATGTTGCGAACAGATTCGAAGAGAAGATAGAGAATTCACAAGGAGTAAAGTTACAAGGATAATGAGTAGATGCTAAACCAACACTCAGCCATATCACTCAGTGGCTCTAACCACCGGCTACGATGATTCCGGGGTTCCCATCCGGGAAACCTAACGTGGTCTATGTGAATAAGTCTCCTGGTCAGGGATTATATACCCTCGCGCCAGATCTGAGGTTGACCGCCCTTTACTTTTTTCCACCCAGCACCTGTCTCGGCAAACAGCACCGGCCGTGACAAACTAGTTGGTGACATGCGTATTACATGCCCCAACGAACATAGTTCATGTCTATTAAGCGACCACTTGTTCGCGACTACCTAAAACTGTACACTTAATCTCGACATTGCTTTCCCAGTTTCTCCACCAGACTCGTGCAACGCGACGTAGACAGCGGTGTTCGAACATCGAAAATCTATCCCTATCTTGTTTTCTGCACCGTGTAGCAGAACTGCTGTAGCATACACTTGACCCCTCACGGATATCACAGCGGTGCCAAAAGCGTTTCATAAGAACTCGGCCATAATAGTAATCTTGGAAGTAGGCGAGGGAACATTGCATGACCATACAAATTGAGGAGTATCATACACAGTCGGTGGACATCTATTAGTGAAATGAAATATGAAAAACAGGCGCTTAATTTAGAGAATATAGCATGTTGATTGATTCGTGAAACAACACTGAACTACGCTTGGTTTTTATTCAATGGATCCTTGATCATGATTGGAACTTGGGCAGGTGAAAAATATCACACGAACGACACTAAATCATTTAGGCATATATCACATTCAGATTGCGGTGATATCCGACAGAAAGGTTGAAGGTTTTTAATGTGTATAACTAGGTCAACCATTTTTGACTCTAAAGTACGGAACAAATGGAATGAGGCTATGCCAAAATAACCATAGATATTCTTTAAAGGTGAAGACAGTTAACAATGGTGTTTGGGTGAGTCCATTCGATTTTTACCCATGCATTTCACACTGCTGTATTTAGTTGCGGGTTTCACCCCTTGGAAATTCATGTGAAATACAATTATTGTAAGAACATTACAGTGGTTTCCATCGCAAACGAAACACAATTACTTCAGCATAAAAACAGTCGATAGATCACAGGTAGTAATGTATTCTCGCTGCATACACAGAGATGAGCAGAACTCCAACTCCATATTAATGTACAACTCCACACGAAGACGACGTGGACCAAGGTATGAAGGGAGAATTTGTCCACACAGAAATGTCATCGAGTCGGCATGGATCGAGTAAGAGAAGTGTGCGTGGAAGGGAATGAAGCGGAGGAGGAAGGGGAAGGAGACTGTAGTTTTGTAGATGCGTTCGAATGAGACAGATCGGAGAAACGTTGAGAAGAATTGACCTGAGTAATCGGTGGACCGGAATACAGGGACCCGTCCATGTACAAATGGCATACAGACTCGTCAGGCAATTGAAGTAGTATGTGTGAATCATCACAGATATCTAGCTGGGAAGTTTCACACACATCCATCTCACACAATTCAGTCGGTTCATTGGATTTCCGAATGCGCATTTTATTGGCTCGTTCCAATACTTGATTAATCTCTTTCCCGTTACCTGAAGAGTAAGAAATGAATTGCCGATTGGAAACTTACCTGACAGTGTGGGAAAATATTTACGCCGAATGTTATTGATATCTTTGGTGGTCAGTGGTTTTCCGAATAAGCCAAAAATGAATTCTTTCAGCAGTTTTGTATCTACTTGTTGAAACAATTCACGCAGAGATTCAAACTGCTCCTGAGAAAGACGACGATTAGCCGGAAGATGTTCATAATAGAACTGAGTGAGCGGATGATTGTGCTGTAAACAAGAGGATGTGACGACTAATTTGGCATCACGTTCGCGAACAATGAACCGGGCTGAACAATCAGTTGAACGAGTGCTGGCGTAGAATGCAGGACATGTTTCTTGTAAATTCACATCTTACTTGACTCGACGAAGACCTTTGCTGACGCTCTTGCGCTTTCGATAACGATCACAATTGAAAACGATCTAACAAAATAACAAAGGTTTTAGTTGATGCAAAAACTTACCCTACGAAAATGTATATGCGGATATTGGGATCGTGAGGATGAACGAATGCTGAATGAGGACCAGGTGGCAGCTTTAAATTCCTCCAGTGCCTCAGCCAATTCAGCATAGGAATTGAACTGACGATTTCCAATAAGTTCGTCGAACTTCTCCTGCGAGCACGCCATTTAAGCGAGACGGATTCGCTTCCTAAATAGTTCACAGGGGAAAAGTGTCGTAGTTTTGGTCTATTGGTGTGGAACAAAGAATTAGAATGTAGTACTTGGGGATAGATAAAAAATTCCAAGAATTGTTTGTACCGAGGAAAAAATGAAAAAGAGTTGGTGATGGTAGATGTGAAAAGAAAGTAGAGGTTGCACGGAGGTGAGGCAACTTCGGAGGATCAGAAACAAAGGCAATAACGACATACAAAACTCACCACAAGTTCAAACCCCAGTAGTAGATAGGTGTACTTCTGGCCAATTTTTATCATCCCTGACAACCCCATACTTAGAGTTGCATGCAAACTGGTGCTTTCCAGATAGCAGATGAGGCAACTATCAGCAGTTTGGTGGTGCCCAATTACTCAGTCACCAACTTGTGACCTTTAATTCCCGAGTTTGAACCGCTTCACCACCGCCCATCATCCCAGGCCGCCCCCCCCCCTTCCTGAATATTGACTGTACACTTGTATATTCAATAAATAAAAAGGAGTAAAAAGACGTTTCGTTTTTAGTAGTGGACAAGTTGGACTCATACCCTTAGAAAAGTGGCCATGGACGAGCAGCAGCAATAGCAGCGCTAGACACAATTCCGAAGACAACAAAGTAACGTGACAAACGTGTCTCGCCACTAAATAAAGGAACTATACCTTGGCTCTAAGGGAGACGTATCCTACCAGGTACATGAATTCAAATCCTTAGTCGACGGCTCTTCTGGAGTTGTAGCAGATCCTGTCTCGCTGTTCAGTCCTACAAACTATGCCTTTTCGGCCGAAGGCTTAGGGCCATCGACAGAATCGTACTCGAGGGGTCATTTTGTACCACAGTTCCGTGTGTCTTCAGGTGTTTTTTTCTCTAAAATGCGCATTTATAAAACAACGTTCCCGGTAAGCGACGGGCCTTGTGCCTCCCAAGTGACGCGCTTGATCCAATCACAAACTAGAAACCTACGAACCAGTTTGGACCTCCACAAAGCTTGCTGGATAGTAACAGATACCGAATGATAAGCAGAAGTCGGAAACGGCTCCCGTACCAACCAATGGAGATCATAATTAAGGCANNNAACTATTTGCTCTGTTTGGCGATGAGCTTTTTTATTACATACTGTGTGATAAGCAGTAGAATGGATGAAACATACAATCGTGATGGTTCACTGTTAAGTTGATAATAATGGCAACATAATGCAACTAGAGAAGGACATGCACACTCAGATTTCGCGGTCGACTTTTGAAAGCATTACTTCCGTTGCGTTTGATGAGGGGAACTCGGTATACTCCCAATACCGCTCCCCATAGATCGAAGTCATCAAACAGTTATCTACATCAAACGTTGATGCACAGGGAAGCACCGGTGAGTTTCGATAGACGAAATAGAAAACTCCAAAAAAACTTCGATGTACGAGAACAGCATCAGGTGGATAGCGGTGGACCGTCACCGAATGCAACAAAGCCGACGCTTTCAAAAGCCAAGCGCGAAACATAAGTAAACATACGCTCTCCTGGATACAGTCGCATAGAGCCCCAGCTGTCTTATCGAAGTACGAGGCAGATTCGTCAGTGAAAAATTTCATTCAACAGCCCTGCTCACAAAAGATCGATTTTCCAACACCACCCAAACCACCTATGGTGATCATACGGAATACTAGTGAAGACGGATAGTAAGTACTAATTTATTTTTCTGCTCTGTTTCTGCTCTGAGGAGCCCGAGCACAATTCAACGTGATGCATGCAATACATTGAAAAAATCGAACACCAAGTATGCAGTTAAGTCAACGATTAATAGTGTCTTCTCTTACTGATCAAAACTGATTCCCACTGCATCAAAGTGAACAAATTAAACCACCTATTTATTGTTTTTAGTTCGTCCATAAATGTTGCAGCTGTCTCCTGCTTAGTGGCTGGACAGCCTAGCAGTACCCGTCCATCGAACCCCAGTGCATATGCATTGCGTGTGGGGAAGCGATCAGTGAAGCTCGTTTCCCTGTGTTTCGCTGTACAATGATGATGATGTCGCGGGTGTGGGGAAATCCACCGGATCTGCATCTACCATCGGATTCTCGGTATCCGCCACTGATATGTGACCCGCTATGTACAAATTAATGCAACTATCAAGTGAACCATCACGGCTCACCAACAGTGAAATCCAGTCCAGTCCTGTCTTTAGAGGACAAACTGTATCCCTTGCCAGTCCGGTGTTTAGATTATTCTGTTGGTGGTGGGTGTTCTTCGCTCCAAACACTGCACTATATAGGTTTTTTATTACACATCTGTGTAGTGAACAACAGACTGGGGAACCCCATATTCACGAAGATCTGCTGCTTCGTCATGGAAATCGGTAACCTAAGCCCCGAGACTTGGAGTGGTAAACCACATAAGGCCCGATAGGTTAGGCGTGGTATTGAACCGGACGACAGCAGAGCTGTCTACCACCAAAGTTAGGTGGCGGTGGTGGGGCTCGAACCTCAGACCATAGGGTCCAAAGAACGCCAGCCGAGCTGAAAGAGAGGAAACAATNAACAATGAGGATGTCCTCGCGTCTCCTCGGTGAGAGGCGTTCCGGTTTCGAGTGCATGTCATGCCATTTGTTGTCCCTACTGAACGTCATTTGAAAGGCCCGTTTTGATAGTTTGGCCCCACAGGTTGCCTAGTTCCGGATGACAACACTCTACCATCTAATCTCGGGGAACGTTTCCGGCCAACACGCATCCAGCGCCACCCTGAAAATGTGGGTACTGGTATAGTTGACCACCCATGGGTAACCTGTTCCACATAAGTATAACTCTGAGCAAGAGAAGCAGTTTGCCCTCCAACCCAGCATGGTTCTGCTGGAGCTTGAACCTAGGATCAGTCGTGTTTCGAGCACCAGAAGCCATAACTAAGTCTTTTGCGGGGAGTCCTGATAGCCCACTTACTATTTTAAAAGTTTCTGTCGGGTCTTCTCTCACTCGTCTACGTTCCAGAGCGAAGATATTAAGGTCCCTCAATCACTGTTTATAGCGTTTTCCCTTTTGTCCAGCTACCATTCGGGTACCAAGATACTGCAGCTTCTCCAGGCCTAAAACATGGTAGGAGACACAGACCTGAATACAGTACGCTGAATGTAGATGAACAATTACCTTATAAATAGAAACAAAGATCTCCCCGTTTATACAAGTAATGGTAACACAGCCTTAAAAGCTCACCACGGGCTTTATTCTCTGCCTTCAGCACTTTGTTTCGGGATTGGAGCTTTTGGTGAGAATAACTCCTAAGCTCTTTACCACCTCTGCGTGCTGCTGTTGCAGCTGTCCGTCTGGGGCAGTGTCAGCTCTTGCTGTCAAAAGTTGACACTTTTCGAGGTTTAGTGGAAAGTCCCACTAGACCGATCATTATCTAATCACTTCTACATCGTAGTAAATGAAATTCTAAAGAGCGAGTTAAGTGGTAGGTGGGTATTGAATGGGCAGCTGGAGCAAAGCTGTGCTATTTAGAGTGCGCTGATGACATCGCCAGTTTGTTCGAATGTGCGCAGGAGCAGCGAACGCAGGACTGAAACATTTGTGGCGTAGACGCGACTTTTCACTGAATTCGAAGGTCGTGCATGTTCTGCTGCTCGTTCGGTTCTGCTTTATGGTTGTGAGCCCTTGAATTTGCTAGTAGATATCCAGCTACTAGCAAATTTCCATTATCGGTTTTTACGTAGTTTGGCTCACGTGGGATGGAGCGATCGGGTTAGTAATCTGAAGGTAAATCGTCGCTTTTGGGAATTTGTCAGGGATAAACTTGCAAGTTCTGCGAATTCAGATTAGTAGGCTTCGCAACCTAGGGTACGTATTGCGTGTACCCAGCTATCGTCTGTCGTATCGCGTTTCACTCACTGTAGCCATTAAGAACGGGAGGAGACCCCGTAGAAGTCAACAGATGACATGGAGATGAGACATGAAGAAAATCACTGAGCTGTTAGGTATAGTAAGTGTCTCCCGTTTTCCACTGGTTGGTTGGAGACACTTAAGGATATGGTAGCCAAACAACAGTAGTGGTGTTCTTGTCGTCATTTCGTATCAGGTCAGAATTCTTGAAGCGACATGCATGAACAGTTAAATTGTGTACTCTGTGTGTTGACCATAGAGGTTTACCTTTTTCCTCCTCCCTCAAAATAGGCCCAATTCGTTCACTTTTCATATTACCGCCGCCTTTGTGTGCATTGCAAATTTGGCAGCGACCAGTGAAATTCGCTCTAATGTATTTCGTTGTATGACGTTAATAATTAGTTACCTAATCCAAAAAAGTGAGCAAGCCAGGTATGAGCTTCTCTCAGTGAACCCATGCTGAGTTGAAGTCAATAAACTGCGGGTTGTTAGGTGATTACATATTTTCCTCTGACGATCCGCTATACGCATTCACACAGAACAGATGTCAAACTAACCCGTCGATAGTTGCCTGCCTTTCACTAGGTCCTGACTCGTACAGTGCACCAACCGTTGCTCTTTGCCAGTCCTCCGGTAATACTCCCGTCCTGCAACGTTGTTCTTTATGTAAAGATTATTGTGCCATGATTTGTTTGGCACAGTCTGGCCTCAGGCGTGAAACATATACATATACTCCCGCCCACATAGATTTCTCAAAAAAGCTAATTACCGAATGTACCAAAATCCCTGCTAGTGGTGGAACCATAGCAGGATGTATTCCATCCGGTCCTGTGTCCTTATTGTTGATTAAGTGATCCAAGCACTCTAGTTGCATCGACCTCGTTGATTGGTATTTTATTGATTATTGGTGTATCTAAACGCGGTACAGTGAACTCCGAAGCATGCACTTGCACCGGTTGTCGGTAGGCTAATAGGGCGTTTGTTTTGTCTTGGTTCGATGTAGCTATGCTAACTCCACTCATGCAAAGGGGCCAACATTTTATTTTATGTTCTTTTGGTTTGCGCGAAGGCATAAAACCTTTAGGGATTCTCCATGCGTGGTGTCAAATTCCTTTCGTAA